TCTGGGGCTGGGGAGCTCGCGGAGGTGCCCCCGAGCCTCGGGGCTCGAGCCAGCGTCTGCCCCCGGCTCCCGCGGGCCGGGCCGGAGCCCTGATGTCTGCCCTCTGTCCGCAGCCGCCCTGAGCCGCCGGACCCCTCCGCTGGGGCCGATGCCCAACGAGGACATCGACGTGAGCAACCTGGAGCGACTGGAGAAGTACCGGAGCTTCGACCGCTACCGGCGCCGGGCGGAGCAGGAGGCGCGCGCCCCGCACTGGTGGCGGACCTACCGGGAGCATTTCGGGCAGGAGACAGGTGCGGGCGGCCGGAGCGGGGGCTGCGGCTGGCTGCTGGCCTCGAAACTCAAGGTCCACCGGCACTTTCTCCGGGCGCCAAGCGAGCTTTGCCCGCGCCTCTGTGTACGCCGCGGGGGAGAGGAAGACCCGCCTGCACCTTGTGTGCACTGTTGGCCTTTAATTACACCAGGATTTTCACACTTTTTGCTCTCTCTGCTACTGAGTTCCAGCTCCTAACCTACTCTTGAAATTCTTTCTTGGCCACCCCCCTTCCACTTGGGGAGTTTTCTCTGTGCTCCTAAAATACTCTGTATGGAGCCCTGGCCAAACTGCATCCTGACATCCTGCTCGTTATTCGCGGCTTCTCCCCTGATTGTAAGCGCCCTGCAGGGATCCTGCTTGTTGCCTCCGCACAGTGCAGGGATGTAGTTGTGCAAGACTTTTTGAGCGAAATTAAAGTCCTGGGCAAGATGACTCAAAGGAGCTTACACTTACTGAGTCTGTCCGTTTTAAAAGTATGTACAGTTGGGCGCTATGGCTCACGCCTGTAATCCCAACACTTTGGGAGGTGGAGGTAAGATGATTGCCTGAGCCCAGGAGTTTGAGACCAGTCTGGAAAACTTGGTGAGACCTTGTCTCCACAATAAACCAATAAATTAGCAGAGGCTGGTGGTGTACACCTGTAGTTCCGGCTACTTGGAAGGCTGAAGTGGAAGAGTCGCCTGAACCCAGCAGGTTGAGGCTGTGGTGGCCATGAGTGTGCCACTACATCCCAGACTTCCACTCAAAACAGCAACAAAAAATGTTCTTCAAGCTTCACCTGTTCATTCCACTCAGGACAGATGTGTGTCCGTGGCCAGCTGTAATTGGAATTCGCCTCAGTTCCCCATGACCTGACAAGACAGTGTGACCTGATTTGGGGATCAGAAAATACAATCTCAAGTTGTATTCAGTTTGCTTAGCAACTGGATCCTGTCCAGGTCTGGGAAGCAGACAGCACAGCATGCTGCAGTTTTGTGAATTACAGGGAAGACTTGAGCAGCAGAGCTTGGAGTGCAGAATGAGGACTAGGGAGGGACAGGCAGCCTAACCAAGAAGACATGGCCCTAGCCTAGTGTGGTGTCTTATCCCTATAATCCCAAGCTACCAGGGAGGCTGAGGCAGGAGGATCTCTTGAGGCCAGCAGTTCAAGATTGGCCAAGCAACATAACAAGACTCTACCTCTAAAAAAAGCTTTTTTTAATAAGCCACCACGGTTGTGCCACTGCGGTCTACTCTGGGTGACAGAGCAAGACTCCAACTCAAAAAGAAAAAAAAAGCCGGGCATGGTGGCTCATGCCTATAATCCCAGCACTTTGGGAGGCCAAGGTGAGAGGATTGCCTGAGCCCATGGGTTCGAGACCAGCCTGGGCAACTTGGCGAGACCTCATCTCTACAATAAATTAAGAAAAGTTAGCCGGGCATGGTGGCACATGCTTGTAGTTCCAACTACTTGGTAGGCTGAGGCAGAAGAATCGCTTGAGTCTGGCAGGGTGAGGCCACTGCCCTCCAGCCTTGGTGACAGAGTGAGACTCCAACTCAAAAAAAAAAATGTGACCCTGCTTTTTCCAATATCTTCCTTCCCCAGATCCCAAAGACAAGATTGACATTGGGCTTCCTCCGCCCAAGGTCTGCCGGACTCAACAGCTACTGGAGCGTAAACGGATCCGCCAGGAGCTCCGGGCCAACGTAGAAGAGGAGCGGGCCGCCCGCCTCCGCACAGGTAAGACATCCTAAGCCGGGCTCAGTGGCTCAGCCTGCAATCCCGCGCCTTTGGGAGGCTGAAGTGAGTGGATGGCGTGAGCCTGCAGGTTCGAGACCCACCTGGGCAATTTGGCGAGACCTCATCTCTACGATAAATCAAAAAATTAGCCAGGCGTGGTAGCGCGCGCCTGTAGTTCCAGCTACTTGGAAGGCTGAGGCGGAAGGATCGCCGGAGCCCAGCAGGTCGAGACTGAGGTGGCCGGGAGCGGCCACTGCACTCCAGTCTGGGCGACCGAGTGAGACTCCAACTCAAAAAAAATTAAAAAAAAAAAAAAGACATCCTAGGGGAGGGGTCCCTGGGTGTGTCCCTGCCTCCACCCTGTATCCCAGCTGGCATCATTCCTTCTCAGCCAGCATTCCGCTGGAGGCTGTGCGGGCCGAATGGGAGAGGACCTGCGGCCCCTACCACAAGCAGCGACTAGCCGAGTACTATGGCCTCTTCCGAGACCTGTTCCACGGTGCTACATTTGTGCCCCGTGTCCCCCTACACGTGGCCTACGCTGTGGGTGAGGAGGACCTAATGCCCGTGTACTTTGGCAATGAGGTGACTCCGACTGAGGTAACCACTCACTTGGGCCCCTTCTTCCTGCCCCGTGCACACAAACATCTGTTGCAGTGGCCCAGGTGCTCCTGGTTTGGGGTTTTGTTGTTCTCTGTCTCTTCTTGATTTCCTGAACTACACCATGACAATTAAAAAGAAAATAATGCGAGACAAAGGAAAATAGAGCCCCCCTTTGCACTTTCCTGTGACATGCCTGGCCTATTGTCTTGGGAGCGCCCTCTAGCCCCTGTCCCTTGGCACATGGCCGTTTTTTGTGGTTGTTACCGGGACAGGCAACTCTGCAGGGTTCCTTCTATAAGCATCTCTATACCTGCCTATGTGAGGCACGGTCAAGGGAGTAGGCTCCCTCTTCTCCATGGCTCCTTTGGACTCCAGCCCTCAAAAAATAAATTCTGTCTGTACCATCTTATCTGTCCCTCGTAGGGAGGTGACAGCTCCCCTGTTCTCTCCTTGGCAGGCTGCCCAGGCTCCAGAGGTGACCTATGAGGCAGATGAAGGCTCCACGTGGACACTGCTGCTCACCAACTTGGGTAGGTGTCTGGGGCTCACCAGGTCCCCTGCCTCCCTTATCTCATGAGCCTGGGAACTGGGGTGGTGGGAGAGCCCGGGCAGAGAGCGCCAGCCCCAGCTCCTTGCAAAGAAGGGGGTGATAGGCCCACAGTCAGCCTTGTGTTTGTGTGCAGATGGACACCTGCTGGAGCCTGATGCCGAGTATGTCCACTGGCTGATGTGAGTATCTAGGGTGAGCGTGAGAGCAGGTCAGAGGCACAAGGAGGCCCTGGGAGCCTGGAATAAGTTGCACCTGGGTTTCAGTCTTGGCTCTACAATGGATTAACCATGGGATTGTGAATTACCCTCCCACCCCAGCAGGTGACCTCTCACCTCTGCCTCCTGAGGGTATCAGGGGCCCCGAGATCTAGGTGTGTATTTGAAGACAGGTACAGAAGAAAAAGCCAGCAGTGTACCCCAGCCAGCCCCACAGCCTCTTCATGTCTTCAAACTCATTTTCTCACTTGTAAAAGTGGGATGATGCCACCATGCGCCTTACCCACCCTGCGGCATGCAGTGACAGTCAAACAGGAGGGGGGGTCTCTCTACATGCTCATTGAACCAGTGGGGGTTCCTTTCCTAGGCGGTCCCCACAGGGTCCAGGCTGTGCTGCCCTTTGTTTTCTCAGAGGCTTTTGGCTCTCAGCAGCAGGCCAGGGGGAAGAGGTTAGGCAGGTCACTCCAGCTTTGCGACTTCTGGATACTTGGGGCCAGTAACTAGGAGGATGGTTTCTTTCTTTTTTTTTTTTTGAGTTGGGTTCTCACTCTGTCACCCAGGCTAGAGTGCAGTGGCCTGATAACAGCTCACTGCATCCTCGACCTCCTGGGCTAGGCAACCCTTCTGCCTCAGCCTCCCAAGTAGCTGGGACTACAGGCTCATGCCACCACACCTGGCTAATTTTTTTTTTTTTTAGTTGGATTCCCACTCTGTCCCCCAGGCTGGAGTGCAGTGGCACACTCATGGCCACCACAGCATCAACCTTCTGGGCTCAGGTGATCCTTCCGCCTCAGCCTTCCAAGTAGCCAGAACTTGTGTTCTATGTACTACCACGCCCAGCTAATTTTTGATTTATTATAGAGACGAGGTCTTGCCAAGTTACCCAGGCTGATCTCGAACCTGCAGTCTCCAGCAGTCCATTTGCCTCGGCCTCCCAAAGTGCTGGGATTATAGGCGGAGCCACTGGGCCCAGCCTGGCTAATTTTTTTATTTTTTGTAGAGGCAAGTTCTCGCTATGTTGCCAAGGGTGGTCTCAAACCCTTAGGCTCAAGCAGTCCTCCCACCTCAGCCTCCCAAACTGCTAGAATTACAGTCGTGAGCCACCAACCCAGCTGATTTCATTTTTATGTAACCACAGTTACCATCCTCTGCAGCTGAACCCTCTGAGGGGTTCTACCTGGAGCAGGTACAGTGGCCACCCCATGCCAGGCTGGGCAAACCCTCTCTGACAAGACCCAAGAACCTTCAGGGCGTAGGGGGGAAGCCCCCCAGTGGAGTGCCTTTTCAGCCTGAATGACTGCGGCAGCCTCATCGACTCCTCTGAACACAGTAAACAGGCTGTTCAGCCTTGCCGTCTTCCCGACGGTCTCTGGAGCCCTGCCCTCTGCTCCTTTGGAGCTGCTCCCTTGACCTGTTTGTTGTATCCAAGCTCAACCTCAGTTATACAACAGAAATCATTTAGGGGCTGTCCTCCCAGGGAATCACCAGCCTCTAAGGGTGTCGAGGAGAGGATGCTTCTGCCGCCTCCCTGCAGCAGCAACTAATGGAGACTTTGCTCCTCCCAGAACCAACATCCCGGGCAACAGGGTGGCGGAAGGACAGGAGACGTGTCCCTACCTCCCCCCTTTCCCTGCCCGAGGCTCCGGCTTCCACCGCCTCGCCTTCCTGCTCTTCAAGCAGGACAAGACAATCGACTTCTCCGAGGATGCCCGCCCCTCACCCTGGTAATCTGCCCACCCCATACACATGGCCCAGGCCTCAGGCAAGCTCCCCTAGAACAGCCATTCTTGCTTAGTTCTCTCTCTTGGCCTAGGCCTTGAGACTGGCAGAAAAGAGGGATGCCAGCAGGTCCTAGAGGGCTTCTCAGGGTTGCCTGACGGGGTGGAGGCAGTGGGACTCTGGTGTTCCTCTCCCCACTGTCAGATGTTCTCCGTAGCTACCAGCTGGCCCAGCGGACCTTCTGCACTTTTGATTTCTACAAGAAGCACCAGGAAGCCATGACTCCAGCTGGCCTGGCCTTCTTCCAGTGCCGCTGGGATGACTCGGTCACCCACACCTTCCACCATCTTCTAGGTAAGGGCATTGGGGTTGGGGGATCTCTCCCGCCCTGCCAGGGAGGGGCTCTGTTCGGAGAGGCCCTCAGGTGGGTAAACTGTGGCCTGAGGAGGCACAGGCCAGCAGGATCCACCGCTGTGTTCTGGCTCTTTTTGCAGACATGAGGGAGCCCGTATTTGAATTCGTGCGGCCACCCCCTTACCACCCCAAGCAGAAGCGCTTCCCACACCGGCAGCCCCTGCGCTACCTGGACCGGTACAGGGACAGTCATGAGCACACATACGGCATCTACTGAGAGGCCAGAGTGTACCCACGCAGAGAGTGGGTTTGGCCTGCGGGAACAGCAAAGACAGCTCCAGAGGGCCAGGCTGTGGGGTCTGGGCCCTGCATGAGACAGGCCTTCTGTGGGGTCCTCCCATCAGGCCCCACAGAGTGAAAGGGACTCTCAGGTGGCGGGACTGGGGGGAAATGAATAAAGACGGTTTCTGCTGTCGCTGGTCTGGGTCTGTGTTCCAGAAGCAGCCAGAGCCCCCCCCATAGAGCTTCGTGGGTGGGATTAGGGCTGCCTCCTACTCCACTAGGTGTAACCTCACCTCCACCTGAGGGTGTCAGGGGCCCCGGGATCCAGGGACCGAGGAAGGACGGGTACAGAAGAAAAAGCGGCTGGTGGGCCAAAATCAGGCATAGCCCAGAAAAGGAGATACCCCGATCTGGCAAGTGCCTGAAATGACAACTCCCGGAAAAAGTACAGTAAAGCACCTGGGGTCAGGAGGGAGCATTTATTGAGCACTGGTTGTGTGCCCCAGGCAATCCCACAGGCCCCTTGAAAGAGATTTGCCAGCTCTGACTATTGGCCCTTCTGCCCAGTGCTCTCTGTGCAGTGGTAGGCTCCTGTCCCAACCCCATGCTTGTGACAAGAAGCCCGGTCAGGTGGGGCAGTGCAGTGTCTCAGGGGCCCCTGGGGACACCCCTTGCTCGAAGCCAGAAAGCCCTGAGACCCCCGTTGAAGGTGTTTTTTTTTCCCTCCTCTCCCTAAAAGAGAAGGCTGCCTGCTCATAGGTCAAGGGGAGGTCTATGCACCTTTTCCAAAAGGATAAATTTCACCTGCCACCCAAACTCTGTCTAACTTGGCTCAAAATAAAGGAGTTGGTTCTCTTCGGATACCCAGCGTCACCACACGCCGCCCAGGGAGGCGGTGGGTGAGCAGACAGGACCCCCTCAAGCTCTGCACCAGCTGCGGGAGAAACACTGGAGACCCCTCTAATTGCTGAGCTTGGACCTCCAAGTGAGGGACTCTCCGCAGCAGAGGCTGGCAAGGAGAAAGCATGCTGACTGCAGCTGAACTTTGGTTTGGGTGTCTATTAAAGGGGAGTTTTGGGCCGGGCTCAGTGGCTTTGCTTGTAATCCCAGCACAGCACTTTGGGAGGCCAATGTGAGTGGATTGTCTGAACCCGCGGGTTTGAGACCAGCCTGGGCAACCGGTGAGACTTCGTCTCCACAATAAATCAAAAAAGTAGCTGAGCGTGGTAGTGTGCACCTGTAGTTCTGGCTACCTGGAAGGCTGGGGTAGAAGGATCGCCGGAGCCCAGCACTTCAGCCTGAGTGACAGAGTGAGACTCCAACTCAAAAAAAGGGGAGGAGGGTTTGAAAAAAGCATTTTTGGTTTTGTTTTTTTTTTTTGAGTTGGAGTCTCACTCTATCACCCAGACTGGAGTGCAGTGGCCCCTCCCAGCCACCGCAGCCT